ATGCAGCGCACTCTCGGTAGATATCAGCAGGATGTTTCTCGTCAGGGTGATTTAGGGTCTCCCCATAGATTACTGAAGAGGCGAGTGCATTTCTTGAAATCTCTTTTCAGTTTGTTTTAACTAGCCGTTGTAATGTAGTGTATTCGGGTTTAACATTTTCTGGAGCAGTTCGTACAGGAGAGGAAATCATCGGCCATTCCATGGCGAGTGGGCCTTTGCGGACGAAATGGTCAGTGGCATTAAGCAATGACTTCTTTTTCATCAGTTTCGCCCTTTGCAGGATCTTCTTTATCGAAGGATGCGTTGCTTGGCAAATTATGAAGCAGCAAATAAAAATTTGGAACGATGCAGAGGGCGGAATAAAGATATACCAAGGGTACTAAATTTACTTGTTTTTTTCATTGGTCTGGATTATTTAACATTTTGTCAGGATCGCCTGAACTATTGGTGTGGGATCCTTGCTGTTACTTGAAATTTATCCGGCAGACTTTTTTGGGTTCTTTGTTTTAAGGTGGCTTCCTTTCGATCGGTTTTTCTCTTTTCTTTCATGCTCTTGGTTGTTTTTGTTTTTTTTGTTTTTTTGCCTTTTTTTTGTATAGCTTTTCTTGGTTGCCACCGAGACGTATTACAGCTGCAGAAGTGGCTATGACATTGCCATGCATGCCACTTTTCAAGCTGTGTGTTTCGTTGTTGCTTTCAGTAAGCATTTTACAACTTCAGTTTTCTTGGTTCTTCTGGTGATGGCGTTGAAGAGACAACCCCTCCCCTGGTTTGAGCGGTCGCTGACCATCGGCACCTGGCCCATAATTCGATCTAGGAATTGCAGCTTTTGATAACTTCTTGGCCGAGTTTTGCAGATGGTCTGTCAATTTCTTTTGATTCCTTTTTCCAGTTTTAACATTTCGCTCACTGAGCTGCTAGATGGTTCCATGCTCTTGCGCTGTGAACTATGTCGTGTTCAAAATACAGATGCTAAGCAGCTTGCCATTGACGTGCGTATCACCTGTTTAGCGCACTTCGCGGGAAATCATTCCGAGAAAATGTGCAGAAAATTTGAGCAATGACAGATCACCTTGCTCCTTTC